AAAAAAAAACGAATGAAACTTTGCACAAAGTAGCCCCAAAGTGCATTTTTTTCATTTTCCGTTTATTTGTTATTAATTTTCAAATTTTTTTAACGCTAACATGATACAATTGTTTATTAATATATAAATAAAAAATTTTGCACTTATTACAATTGTTTTATCAACCTCTTTGCATTTCACAGCTAAAGTTTCCTCGCACACTTTTCGACATCCGACGTCCTCGGAAAGTTGTTGACATTGGAAGAACGAAACAAACTCTGAGATTGTTTTAAAATTCAAAAAAATGTTTGTAGTAATAGAAGAGACTTCTATCTTCAAATTCCACACATTTTTAACGTGAAATAAACATAATTCTGAATAGCAGCACTTGAAAAATGCCAAATTCGAATTTGCACAAAGTAGCCCCCGCTGCACAAAGTAGCCCCGAATGACGGTATTTAAATGTGAGGAATAAACTATTTTTTTGTTCGAATAGTTAACATTATAAGTTAGACATTATCACTGATGTTATTTTTTAAATATGTGAAAAACTAAATCGCTTATAGTAAAAATTAAAACAATGACTAACGCTTAACCCATCAGAAACTCCCCTTAAAAAAGTATTTTATTAGCGATTGAAAATGTGAACAAGATATAGGGAGAGTTGCGAACTAATAGTAGGAATATAAAAATAATAAGGTTTAAGAAAAATTGAATGCATTTGAAAATAGGACCTCATTTGCCAGCACTTTTATGAACCTTAAGATAAATGAAGTAGACGGTGGTGATAATAATCCAGAAAAAAAAAGCGGAAGATAAGCTGGCAATCCTTGGGTTGTCACGTGTTCTGCTACCATCCATCGAATAATAATTTTCTCGTTATTTTTGTCTTCGGGCGGCTATTTTTAATCTTGGCAAACTGCAAATAGTCAGAATGTACCTCATTACCTTGCAATTTTTTTTTATAAAACGTCTTTCTTTTTCTTGATTCTGAAGAGGGGAGGACATTTCATAACGGCGAACACATTTGTCTCCTTTGAAATTCTCGATTCAATGGAACAAATATCCAAAGCAAGTCTAAAGAACATTCAGGAAGAAGAATCCCAGCTGCACTGAAATAAATAGGATCATAAATAAATTAAGACGTAAGCATAATGTATTGATGTTTTTGATGCAAAAATATTTTTAAGGATTAAATAAACTCTATCATAATAACAGTTCGTTAACTTTCTCAGTTGCGAATGCATTCAATTGAAAAAACATTGATCTACATTTTTTTCGTTCACGAAATACCGCTGTACCTTAGACTCACTTGATATTTTTCTTGCGCACAGTATTAATTAACAAAAACTCAGAAATTTTATGGAAAATACATAATACTTTCGTTCATAAATATAAATTTTTTTAGTGTACAATGTGCCAAGAAAAAAAAACTTACCATTCTGATTAGCTTTTGGATTTTCGCGTTCTAGAACATAATCTTAACGGCTCGAGGGGTTGACCTTGAATAGGCCTTAAATAACTTAATTTGCAGACGATATTTTAAGTTGCAAAATCAGGCACAAAAACATGCCTCCTCAGAGCATCTTTTTTTTCGTCTTTTTTTATTTTTGTACCTATCTTTTTTTATAGACGGATTCGGTTTTTTGTCTCCTAAAATATCAGGGACAGACGCAGTCTAAGGAATAGGGCCCCGATAGTTCCAAAGTTTGGACCCCTTAATTTTACTTTTTACGTCTCGACATATTTCGTCTTATCTCCCGAACATTTCAAGCAAATTGAGCAATCTTTGCACACGTAACTATAAAATTCCTTTATCCAAATATATTTCCATGCAGGAAATAACTTCTAGTAAACATTTTTTATTTATTATTATTTCATTTAATAATGGTCGAAAAATGTTTGAATTGTAATCTATGCAATTTTTTGTATTATTTTAAAGAAGATAATTTTAAGAAGCAAAAAGCGGAATGTGAGTGAAATCGCCTGAATAGCTCCCGAGAAATTTATTTATTTATTACAAATGCCCAGAAGATTGGCTATGACGCCATTACTTCTCTGGTCTTCCAATATCTCTAAACAGTTCCGAGAAATTTAATTTTAAATAAATCAGATGTTTAAAATTCCATTTCTCAAAAACTGTTCGACTGATTTTGCTCATATTTTGTATTTTACCTCTCAAAATTATCTTCATGAAAATGAAGCAAAAATTGCATACCTTACAATTCAAAAATTTTTAGATCAAATAAAACAAAAATGTAATAAACATTTACAAAATAATAGATAGTTATATAAAAAGTAATAAATATTTACTAAGAATAATTTTTTGCATGGAATTATCTTCGGAAAAAATGAATTTTCTAACTCTGTGAAATTTTTTCAATTCGTTCAAAAATTTCCTAAGATATAACGAAATATTCAAAAACTAAAATTTTGGAACACTGACCAAATTATCGGGACCATATTTCCCAGAATGCGTCTAAGGATCAGAAATCCGAATGTATTGAAAAAAAGGTATGTTTATTCAGAGAAAGTACGTTTTTGTGTCTGATTTCGTCTGCACTTATTAGTTAGCATATTTGAGTTTAATCCCCGATTCAGAATCCCGATAAGATCGAGTCTTAGAAAGTGAAGATCCGATCATTAGATCAAAAGTTATTCCGGCTAGTCCTTTCTTTGCGCCCTGCGCAAATGCTGCCATGCATTTCATAGCAATTTTTTTTTAATTAAAGATATTTTTTGGATGTTATTAATTATTTCTTTTATATTTGTTTCTTGAGCCGCGATGGCTCAGGGGATAAAGTTTTCCCCTTCGAATGAGGTGAACCAGGTTCAAATCCCAGCGATGGCTGGTAGATACGAATTCCGTATCCGGATTGCATGGACCACAGTGCTGACGTGAAATATCCTCAGTGGTAGACGGATCATGGGTTAGAGTCCCCTTGCCGTGAGGCTAACCTTGGAAGATTCTCGTGGTCTTCCTCTCCATGTAACGCAAATGCGGGAAAGTTCCATCAAAAAAATTCCTCCACGAAGGCAAATTTCTCCCAATTCAGGAATTCCCTTGTCTTCTGGATTGGGTTCAAAATGACAAGGCTACGTATAGTAGCCTTGTCAACTTTAGTAGTCGTAAACAAAAAAATTGGATCAGCTGTTCAACGAGGGTTATAAAATGAAATATAAAATATATTTGTTTGTTGACTGAATTTGAATATTCAAGCCATTAAAACTTTGTATTCAATTGCAAAAATTATATCAATTGAATCTCAAACGTAATAATATTTTATTGCAATATATTTTCAGAGTAGACGGAGTATATCTTTTGACTTTATCATCTCGAAATTGTTACGGACTTTTCATTTGATTCAGTGCAAGAATGCATGGAAACCTCTCAAGTCAACAATTTAACGTGTCACAGCCACATGCAACATGTTAACAATGCAACATGTAAGTGAAAAATCATACTTTTTTATGCATAAACTATTAGATGTCTTTTTGATCTCACTACTTTATTTAATTGGAATATTACATGTGAAAATAAATGCAGACAAATACCCCAATAACTTCTAAACAAGTACTCTTTTTATTAGCATTTTGTTAGTACATCATTTAAAATATTGCAATTTTCGATGGCAAAAATTCATGGAAATTACTCGTATAGTTCGCAAGATATCAAAATTAAAAAATTCGACTTTTTTTAAAAGATTAGATTTCTTGAGAACTATTACTATATTCGGTTACTATATTTCAGGTGAGGCTCTTGAGCCACATTAAGTATTAATTATAATTAAGTATTAGTGATAATTAGTGATAAAGTATTAGTGATCATCAAATCAAAAGTTATTCAGGGTGTTTCATATTTTTTACTCACACGTTTTTTAGCAAATATCGTGTCGAGTTACAACAGTTTTAAAAGCAAATAAATAATGGAACATTTTTTTATATCGTTTGAATCATTTCAATAAATTTTATAAATGTGGCAATGAATGCATTTAAAAGCTTCTGATCTTTCAACTTTTTACTGGTGAATTCTGTTATTTCCAACTATTGTTTTCACTGCACAACGAGTGGCATACATATCAAGTAATATAATATTAAAAAAAATAGTGCGTGGAGTCTCTCCGTGCGGAGGAAGTTAAACTTCGTAACCTGCGACGTTAACTGTAGAAGAATCAGCAGTCGTAGAAGGATCACTAGTTCTATTCAACGACTCTTTTTCCTGCTCCGCTCGCTTCCGTGCTCTGTAATCACGGTAATATTGTGCATTTTTCCCTCGTGGACCTCTTGAACCAGTGGAAGTGCTTGTGGTTGCCTCATCGTCTCGCCCTGGAAAATGTATTTGTATTAATAATGTATGTGAATGCGTCATAATGTAATTTCAGAAGAGAAAACCTAACAATCAATTGATATTCACAAGAGACGTACCTTGACATAACCTTAAATCCGTCGCATTGTCCGTGGGATTGTTTTCACTCATTTTTTACAATTGTTATCCACTAAATTTGAAAATAAAAAATACTACCCTATTAAATTATATGTGTATCAAAACAAACTAAAAAAATATTTATAGAAAAACAATACTTTTATGACTTTTATTATTTTTATGCTAGTGAGAATCAGAACAATATTGAAATGAATGAGGGAAAACTGGATCCTACCACGTGATTTCCCGACCAATAAAAATGTAGCGTTAAACGTTTAACGCAACCTTGTTGGAAGTCGCATAAGAAGTATCACTTCAAAATTTTAAAGTCAATTCCTACTTAGCTCATTGAAGAAAAATTTTATTTTAGTTACTTTTCATTAAATAATTACAGTTTTTTCTCCCATATGAAACTAAAATTAATTCATTACATTTAATGAATGAATTAATGTTTGAAAAAACTGTATTAGCATCAATTGTCATCCACTACAAGTTTAAAAAAAATCATATTTGAAGTTGAGTGAATGAATAAAAAGTATTTTATGAATGATTGAAAATTTGAACAAGATATATAGGGAGAATGTGAACTCTAATAGTATGAACTGAAAATGGATCGAAACTTTTGTTTCCTTAACAACACGGATGCCAACTTTTTCATGAACTAAATTTTAACTTAAGATCACAAACTATTTCAGAGTTTTGTTTTTCTCTTAAATAGAAAAGAAAAGGTAACTAAAAAAAAAAAAATGNAAAAAAAAAAAAAAAACCTCAATCGCATAAGTTTTTCCTGCGGTCCTGCATTGTTTTACCAAATTTTGACTTCAGTCACTAAGAAACTCAACACTACTTTTTTTTTTCTTTATATAAAAAGCGGAGTTTTTTTTTTAATTCCAGCTAGTTGTTGTTTAGGTTCAATTGAATCACCAAATCGAATGTTTTCTATCCCTCCCCCCCTTCTTTTCGCAGTTGCTTCAACTACCATAGAAAAGAATCTACTCAAGTTTCAAAAAGTCATTTTAGTTGTCTTCTTGTTGGGAAATGGGAGCTGCGTAATTAGAAATAAAATAAAAATAAGGCTTATTGATTCATCTTGTGAATTTCGATTTTTAAATCTTTCTTTTTATTGCCCCCAAAAAATTTGAGTTAAAAATATATGTTTGTGATAAGATTGTGTGAAAATATGACTTACGATTAAAATGTCACACACACAATTTCTGAAGAGAATAGACGGCTTTTAAATTCACCACGCTCGGGTTCATGTGAGAATTGCTTTTGTATTAAGGAGATCGGAAAGTAATGTCGTTTCGGTGCATCTTTTATCAAGATTTTATTTTTAATAAATAATGTATTCACCCTCGTTAACTGCAACTTTTCAATGCCGGATCAAAAACTAATCGAAATGGATAAAAAAAATATTAAATGGTTTTTAAGACTAACATTTAATGCACCGAAACTATATTGCTTTCCGGTCCCACTAATATTTAATTTTCAAATATCATGTCTTAAAATTGCACGAGACTATATAAATTTAAATATACATTTTAATATATATTTAAATATATATCAGAAGGCCGCCGAGAGGTGGAAGTAAGCAGGTTTCAGACGCCTAGCAATACTTAATTATTATTTATTAAGGGATATTCATGAAGAGGGATCATCCATGTGACACATTATCGAATTGCTCCTCAATAAAAGTTAGGGAAAATCTAACAAATTAAATCTATAAAATATTTCAAATTAGGGAACAAGAGAAATATGAGTAATTACAATTACTAGGTCCATGTCCAAGAGGTCGAGCGTTCAATTCCCGCTGAACTCCCCGTGTTGTAAATGAAGACGGGTGCACGTTAAATTCGTCGAGTCACAAAGTCCTCCAAGTTCTCATAACAAATCATGCCTTTGGGTAATTAATCCAGGAGTGTCCTTGTCTTCTGGATTGGTTCCAAATTACAAGGCTACGGTGTTGAACATTAGTAGTCGTAAACCCAAAAATCTGGTCGGCTGTTCAACGACGGCTATAAAACAAAATAAAATTGGTTTATTGAATAGGTCGAGGGAAAAGAATGTTTCTCACAGTTCGCTTAAGGGAAGATAAAATATCTGATTTTATACATACTTATGATCTAAATTTAAAATAAGTAAAGACATAGTGAAGTGTGAGAAAGCGTTTAACTTTGAATATTAAATAAAGAAGATTTAGATAAGAAAATAACGTAAAAAAATTGGCTGCAGCTTCTTATGTTATTATATATTTTAAATATTTTTCTTCCAAATGTGTCGAAATAGAAAGAAATAAAATAACGAAATGAAAAACATAAAAAGAAGAATATTCAATTAATCTGTTGAAGTTGAGAAAAAGTGAGCAAGGAATATTATCATATTAGAATGAAATTAATCACATTTAACATGGTTCAACACTATATTCTCTTTCCTTTAAAATATTTTCAAAAATCAAAATTCTATTGCATTTCTGTTACCTTTAAATGGAAGGGAAATTAAGCGCTGAAATCATATTTTGCGCTCGGTTTTATGTTTTCACTTAAAAAATTCAATGTCATTAAAATATGTCCCATTTACCACTTTTCGATTTTCTACACCAGTGTTTACTTATGAATTTTTTGTCCCCTTTCTAAATTTTTCATAATGCTGTGTACCACTGATAAAAAAATGAATGTATTTTTTTTACTATAAGAAATGCACAAAAGTTAAAAATCTGAACTGGCAGTTTACACCACTAATTATTAACTGTTAACTCTGCAAAAAATAACCAATAGAAAAATACGTAATCGTAAATTTTCATGGCTAGTTTTGTTTTTATATAAAGTTTTTGAAATTTTCATATGTTGCAAGATATTTCGCATAAGAACGCGTACCCTTGCTAAACTGTTCCCGTACCCCTGGGGATGCGCGTACCACACTTTGGGAAACGCTGTTCTACACTGTTAGAATTTTCATTCTAAAATTATGGTAAAATAACTCGCAGCCGTCTATTCATCCCATTAACCGTAAAGTTTAAGGTAAGGAATATTTTTTACCTATATGGTTTTGCAACCATTTACAAATAGTATGGTTATGAAACCATGAGTACAAGACTACAAGTTTTTTTAAAACCATTTATTACTAGCATTTTTCAAAAACGCAAAATAAAATACAAATATTTAACTAGGCATAGGAGCTTGGCTTTTCGTAAGATGATGGACATTCGAGAGTGCCGGACACTGTAAATTCTTCTTGTGTTGAAGAAACGGAGAAAATAGTGTGGTATCAATACTGGGACTCAACCCCCAGTTTTGACGGTCATGAGTTTGACAGAATTACCCGCTCGGCTATGATTGTACGCCATTGCAAAGAACCAAGTAGTTTCATTAGGTGGTCCTAGTGGGTGCGATGAAATTCTGGTTGTTTAACAGTATTAAGTGAAAGTAGTTAATAAGTAGTAGTAAGTTTCATTACTATTCTATAATTATGATTATTTGACTCTTTTGATTGAATACGGTAAAATAACCATTAAATAAATTGCTATTTAACCATTTTTTTTCGAGAAATTTCTAAGAGTGTATAATCGAATTTGCCTACAAAACAAAATCCATAAGTATTAAGAGAAGAAAAAGGATCGAGCTTTTAGAATTTTTTCATTCACCATGTCAGAAGTAATTTTTTTTTCTTCCTCTCCATAACTTTTAAGAAAGAAAAAAAAAAGAGTACAATTTTAACCTGCTAGACGGTTGAGCAGATAACACCCCCAGGGAGGATTCCACGAATTACTATTATCTCTGGTCTTATGGGTGCAGCAAGAGAAGGATTTTGATAGAACCAAAATAATACTTAAAAAATAGTGGGTGTGGAAGAAAGAAAAATGAACAACAACCACAAAAATCCAGAAGTATCGGATAAAAAGTTTGCGTTTAAATAGTATCTTCATTCCATTAAGTGGTAAAGTTAAAACGGAAGAAAAAAATCCAAACTGCAAAACTAAATTTTTCTTCTTCTTTTTAACAAAAAAATAATATTGGGTTTGGAGTTT